TTTTAGTGGAGATGGGGTTTCACCATGTTGGTCCGGCTGGTCTCGAACTTCTGACCCCAGGTGATCTGCCCTTCTCAGCCTCCCAAGGTGCTGGGATTATAGGTGTAAGCCACCGTGGCCGCTAAAAGGATGTAGTTTTAAGCAAGCATCCAAGTGAGCATCCAGGCCAGTTGCAGTGACTCCAGCAGTAATCCCAGCACTTTGGGAGGTTAAGGCAGTTGGATTGCTTCAGCTCAGGAGTTGGAGAGCAGCCTGGGTGCATGGCAAAGCCCTGTTGCTACAAAGACATACAGAAATTAGGCTGGACAAGGTGCCTCACGTCTGTAATCCTAACACTTAGGGAGGCTGAGGTAGGTGGATCACCTGAGGTCAGGAGTTTGAGACTAGCCTGGCCAATATGGCGAAATCCTGGCTCTACTAAAAATATAAAAAATTAACTGGGTGTGGTGGTGGGTGCCTGTAATCCCAGCTACTTGGGAGGCTGAGGCAAGAGTATCACTTGAACCTGGGAGGCAGAGGTTGTAGTGAGCCAAGATTACACCATTGCACTCCAGCCTGGGCAACAAGAGCAAAACTCCGTCTCAATTTAAAAAAAAGAAAAAAGTACAAAAATTAGCCAAGCTTGGTGGTGTGTGCCTGTAGTCCCAGCTACTTGGGAGGCTGAGGTGGGAGGATGGCTTGAGTGCACGAGTTTGAGGCTGCAGTGAGTTATGATTGTGCCACTACACTCTAGCCAGGGTGACAGTGAGACCCTGTGTCAGAAAAAAGTAAGCATCTCTTGGGTAATACCTGGTTCCCACACATTATGGAGACCCTTCTGCCTTTTCAGAGAGAGTGTCAGCCTCACATGGAAGTGGAGTGTTCTCAGTTGAGTAATGGGTTTCATGGAAGCACAGCTGATGGTGAGGAATCATGGGAATTTCTCTTCCCTCCTTAAGATAAGTGTTTTTCCTTCCAGATGATGATTCCTGGGACCTCGTGACCTGCTTCTGTATGAAGCCCTTTGCCGGCCGCCCCATGATCGAGTGTAATGAGTGCCACACCTGGATTCACCTGTCCTGTGCGAAAATCCGGAAGTCCAATGTTCCGGAAGTGTTTGTCTGCCAAAAGTGCCGGGACTCCAAGTTTGACATCCGCCGTTCCAACCGATCGCGGATGGGCTCCCGGAAGCTATTCCTGGACTGACTGCTGGCTGGTGAGGAGGCTGCAAGCGTGGAATCGGAAGCGACGGTGGGCTTCTTAGCCCTTCTCTTAGTTGAGCACAGAACTCTCAGCTCTGGTGGGGGCAGATCTCTGCCATTTAGGTGCCTAAGCAAAAGGACAGGCTGTCCAGGTAGAAACTGTACATAGCCAGTGACCGAATGCAACCTTTGCTGGCCAGCGCTGCTGCCAGAGCTGTGTTCCCTGCAGTGGAGGTGGACCGGACACCCACGTGCAGCGCGTTTGGCTCCTTTGAAAATGAGGGTCCATGATAGCTGTGTGTTTTGCTATCATTGCTAACAGATTCCCGCTTATTGGGCTGAGTGCCAGTTGTTATTCTGCTTCCACTGTGTTGGGGAGAGGTGTTCGGTTTCCCCGGCCTGTTAATGAACAGCCATACGTGTAAGCTTTTTCTTGTGTGTTAAGTCTTTTACCAAAAGTGTCTGTACAGCAACCATCTAAGTTGCCCCTGCTTAGTGGCCCGCCCTCTACCGGCCTCAGCTCTGCCTGACAGGCTGGGGGAGGCACTGGTGGGAGGCCTCGGGCTCCCTTCGAGGGGCCCTGGGGTGGTGGGTCAGCGTGTGGTTCTTAGGTTTCCTTCTGTTTGTTAAAAGGGACAGTGTGGCCGCTTCTCTGTGGAAAGTGGATTGGTTGGGGGATTGAAGTGGCCCGTGTTCATAACTCAGTTTCCCGTTTTGCACGATGTAAAAACCCTGTCTTTTTGCACGATGCAGCCAAAAGTATTGGCTGATTTCTTGCTGAGCGCCCTCCCAGTTGGTGTATGAGGTCCTGGTGGGGCCCAGGCCAGCTGTTTTGCAGTGTGGGAACTCGTAGGTTCTGTTCTGTTCTGTTCCTTTCGTCTCATTGTAGCAACATAAAGGTTAGGCAATCACTGGGACCCGCATGGTGTTCCTCTAAATAATAGGGTAAAGGGGAGTTGGGAGGGAGACCTCTCCCTTGGGTGACTCTTGTATGCCCTTTAGACAGGCTGGCCTGCTGGTTCCACAGGGCAAGGTTAGGACTTGAGTCCTTTTTTTCTGGTTTGAGTTGTTGAGTGAGTGATAGGGTAAGCCTTCCAGAAGACACCTTGGAACTGTGCTGAGTTCCTTAGATCTTTGCTGGGATCTTGGACTTTGGAGGCCCGTGTGAGGGCCAGCTCTGGAGAAAGCTGGGAGTTGGTGCCGGAACTCTGCTCGAGGGCAGGGTACCCCAGGACACTGGTGGTTCTGGAGTTGGGAGGGAGAGGGGCTCCGCTTTCTCCAAAATGAGCATTGCTCTTTAGCAGTTTGAATACTTGTTCTCAAAACGTTTTGTAATTGGTAGGTTTTCATAAGCATTGTTTCTTGTAAGGCATGGAAAGGGAAGAATGCCCAAGGGGGTCATGTTTATTTTTAGCAGGATGGGCCTGAGTGCCCCCTGCTGGGGGCTTCCCCTTCGTGTGGCACCTTTGTGCCAGGCCACCAGGCAGACTCTTCCCACCTCCTTCCACTGAAGCACCAAGGGGCTTGAACCATAATTTGGCTAATCAGAGGCATTTTTTTTCCCTAGTATCTTTCACACTTGTCCAACCGTCTTATTTTTTTTAAAGTTCTGTTGCTTGTATTAACACAAAACTAGAGAGAGTTTCTGAAGCCAGTTTATTGTGAAGATCCCCAAGGGAAGGTTCTGTAGAGAAAGACAGTAAGCTGGTTTAGAAACGATCTTCTCTCCACACCATTGTCTGGCTCTGACGAGGGCAAACATCTAGGACGCATTGGAGAGGAATTTGCCAAAGATCCTGCCCTATGATAATGCCTGTCCAGTGTCTTCATCATACGAATAACCAAAGCTCCAAAGTGGTTTTCTTCTTTAAAAAAAAAAAAAAAAAAAAAAAAAAAATTCCAAAAATTTTAAAAGGGTGTATCTATGTGACTTTAGAGTGGAACTGCCGGCCCTGGCGACTGTCGTTTGTGCTAGAAGGTTCGAGGCCTCTGGAATGCATGTGATACTCATCTCCATTGTTGTTTCCTTGATTGCATTTTTGTTCTTTTAACAGGCCTGTCCCTGTGGGTGGTGTCTAAGAAGTCGGACACCTTGGTTTTTGTGTTAGATTGAGCTGGGCAGCTGCAATCAGCTTCTTTATGCAAATTAGGCACGACCCATCTGGGGCTCCTGGTTGGTGGCTAATGAAGTGAGGGGAGGGAGGGATGTCACCCCAAAAGTAGGCCCTCCCATCGGCTTTGGCCAGGCCAGACACTTCACATCGTTTACATGGTTCTGTGTAATTTTAAAGTTTATGTGTATAAAGCGAAGCTGTTTCTGTGAAACTGTATATTTTGTAAATAAACATATTGCTACTTTGAGGTTCATGATTCAAGGTTCAGGTGATTGTGCTCTGTGCTGAAGAACAATTGTGTCTCTTTCCTTGCTACCTCCCCAAACCATGATTATATGAAGTCTCTGGGAAGGCAGAGTATCAGTGTGCCCTTAGCGGGATGGAAAATGCCCATGGCATTAAGGTATTTTGCTGGAGAATTCCTCAGAAACCACAGGATGAGTAAATGTGAATGGTTTTTGCATTTTCTTCATCAGATTGTGGATTAGCTCAAGCCCCAGAGTGTTTAGCCTATTTTTGATTTTTTTTTTTTTTTCTTTTTATGAGATGGAGACGTACTCTGTTGCCCAGGCTGGAGTGTAGTGGCGCCATCTCGGTTCACTTCGGACCTCTGCCTCCAGGGTTCAAGTGACTCTCCTGCCTCAGCCTCCCGGAGTAGCTGGAACTACAAGCACATGTCACCACACCTGGCTAATTTTTTGTAATTTTAGTGGAGACAGTTTCACTGTGTTAGCCAGGATGGTCTTGATCTCCTGACCTCATGATCTGCCCGTTTCTGCCTCCCAAAGTGCTGGGATTACAGTCGTGAGCCAATGAGCCTGCCCCCCCCCACTTTTTTTTTTTGAGACAGTTTTGCTCTTGTCACCTAAGGTCGGCTCACTGCAACCTCTGCCTCCCAGGTCCAAGCTATTCTCCTGCCTCAGCCTCCTGAGTAGCTGGGATTACAGGTGCCTGCCACCATGCCCGGCTAATTTTTGTAGTTTTGGTAGAGATGGGGTTTCACTATGTTGGCTAGGCTGGCCTCGAACTCCTGGGCTCAGGTGATCCGCTTGCCTCAGCCTCTGAAAATGCTGGGATCACAGGCGTGAGCTACTGTGCCTGGTTGATTTTTTTTTTTCCTTACAAGATGATGCTTTCCATATAGTCTGCTTTGAGAAACCTGCAGCTCCTTGGGAGTTCTTCCAGGGCAGGACTGGAAACTCCCTCCCCTCGGGTGCCGTTTTTTGCCCCGTCACGTTTTGGGGGTTCCCAGTGCCCAAACTTCTGGCAATGAGCTGTCTGGCCCCTGAACTGACACCACCAGTGGCCAACTAGTAGCACCTCCAATGTCAGAGGAGTCCAGACCTATTCACACCTCAAAGCCCTAAACGCTGAGGGGTTGGCCTTGGTTTCCAGTTGTCCAAGCCTGTGGGTGGCTGAGTCCTGGTTGGGTGCCCCAAGCAAGGAGGTGAAAAGCGACCGGCTTTGGCGAATGGGGTAAGACCTGCCCAGGCCCAAGGCTAGGAGTTGGCGTTTCGTGCCTGAGTTGGGGACCGGAGAACCCAGTGACGTGGCGCCCCGGGCCCTGTCCGACCCCAGGGAGACGCGGGTCGCGCGGACCGCGGAAGGAGCGCGCCCTGGAGCCGAGCCAGGCCCGTCACCACCTCCCGGCGGCCCCGCCCCTCCCGGCAGGCCCCGCCCCGCCCCGCGGCCCCGCCCGGCCCCGCGGCCCCGCGGCCCCGCCCCGCCGGCCCAGCCGGCCCCGCCGCCGCCATCTTTGTTGGGGGCAGCCGGGCCTGGCTCTGGAGATGCCGAAGTCGTGCGCGGCCCGGCAGTGCTGCAACCGCTACAGCAGCCGCAGGAAGCAGCTCACCTTCCACCGGTAAGAGGCCTGGGCCTGAGGGCGCGGGAGTACCGGACCCGGGTCTCGCGGACAGACTTGGAGGCCTCGGCGCGCCGGGCGGGAACGCCCCGGAGGCCCGCGGTCTTGCGGCCGCGGCACCCGGGGACAGGCCGAGGCGATGGGCCCAGAGGGGCAGGCGCCACCTCGCCCGCCGCGGGGACGTGGGACTTGGGGCGGGGCAGACGGAGGGGCTGCGGCGCACCTGGCGGGGGGTCTGCTGTGTCCCTGGCCCCTGCAGCCCCCGCCACGCGCCGTCCCGAAGGCAGCCCGGGACCTGCGCGGTGCAGTGGAGGAGTGGATCCCCCAGGGGCGTGAGGGCAGTGGGAATGGCCTTTGCAGGGTCGCGGGAGGATGCTGGACATGTTGGAGCCTGCTCCTGCCCTCCCAGGACCCCTGGCCCGGCCCAGGAGCAATCATCCTTGGTCCGCGGTGGAAGTTGCGCTTTCTCCAAGGTTCAGCCACGGCACCATTTCTCTACCCACTTTTGGGCACATCTCCGAAGGGAGGCTTGTGCTGATCGTTTGCATTCTCTCTGCTCCCATTTTACTCTGTTTTATGATAAATGCTTTGCTTAAAGTATACATAACGTACATGGAGAAAAATGCACGAATCCTAAGTACACAGCCCAGCAAGTTTTCCCCAAGTGAACGCCGCCGAACTGAAACGTTACCAGCTGGGTGCGGTGGCTCACGCCTGTTATCCCAGCATTTTGGGAGGCCGAGGCGGGAGGATCGCTTGAGCCTGGGAGCTCGCGACCAGCCTGGATAACAGAATGAGACCCTATCTCTAAAAATAATTTTAAAAAAATTAGCCAGGCAAGGTGGTGTGCCGCTGTAGTCCCAGCTGCTCAGGAGACTGAAGTAGGACGATTGCTTGAACCCAGGTTCGAGGCTGCAGTGAGCTATAATCTTGTTGCTGCACTTTAGCCTGGGTGACAGAGCGATCTCTCATCTGAGAATACAAAATAAAATAAGAAAACATCACTACTCCTGAGAAGACCCCCCCACACCTAGACCCCTCCCAGACCCTCCTTCTCTCTCCTGCCCAAGGGGAACCCTATCCTGCCCTATATCAGGGTGGATTACAGTTCATTCCCTTTCACTGCTGCATAGTATTCTATTGAATGCAAGTACCAGAACGTGCCGATTTGTTCTACAATTGAAGGGGCTTTGGGTGGCCCCGTTTTTTGAATGACAAATACATTGTTCTGGTGGCTGCTTGCAGTGGCTCACACCTGTAATCCCAGCACTTTGGGAGGCCAAGGCTGGTGGATCACCTGAGGTCAGCAGTTTTAGACCAGCCTGATCAACATGGTGAAAACCCATCTCTACTAAAAATACAAAAATTAGCTGGGTGTAGTAGCGCTTGCCTGAAATCCCAGCTACTTGGGAGGGCGAGGCAGGAGAATCGCTTGATGCCGGGGTGAGCCGAGATTGCGCCGCTGCACTCCATAGCCTGGGCGACAGAGTGAAACTCCATCTTTTTTTTTTTTTTTTTTTTTTTTTTTTAAATAGGACGGGGTTTCACCGTGTTGGTCAGGCCGGTCTTGAACTCCTGACCTCAGGTGATCTGCCCGCCTTGGCCTCCAAAGTGCTTGGATTACAGGCATGAACCACCACGCCCGGCCAAAACTCCATCTTAAAACAAAAACAAAAACATTGTTCTGGCCAGTTTTGCTGGAACTTGTGTGGTGCATCTGTCTGTTTGCTTCTGTTTGGTATGTGCCTGGGGATGGAGTTGCCACTCCTCTCTTGAAGCCGTTCTCTCCACTCCCATGAGAGCTCTGTCACGTTACTGGTGAGCCTTGTGATGCTGATCGACTGCTGTGTAGCATTTCACACCACTAACCCCTGACCCTGGGTCACTTTTCCCACAAGGTGTCTGGGACACTTCTCAGCCACAGGTGTCCCTTCTCAGTCTCCTTTGCTGGCTCCTCCTTATTTCCAGCACTAAGTGTTGGGAGCCCTGGGGTGGGGCCGTGGCCTGGGTGGCCTCTGTCCACACTCGCTCCCCAGGGGCTGATCTCGGCCAGGCTTACCAGTTCTGCAGTGTCGTCCTCCACACTGACGTCTCCAGATGCGTGTGGCCACCTGTCACCCTAGCAGATGGGTAGCCTAAAAAGCACCTCGAATAACGCCTAACATACGAAACAAACTTTTTTTTTTTGGAGACAGACTCTCAATTTGTTGCCCAGGTGGAGTGTGGTGGTGCGATCTCAGCTCACTGAAACCTCTGCCTCCCTGGTTCAAAGGATTCTCCTGCCTCAGCCTCCCACGTAGCTGGGATTACAGGAGTGTGCCACCACGTTGGGCTAATTTTTGTATTTTTAGTAAAGATGGGGTTTTGCCATGTTGGCCAGGCTGCTCTCTAACTCCTGAGTTAGGCAGTCCTCCTGCCTTTGCATCCCACAGTGCTGAGATTCCAGGCATGAGCTTCTACAAAACAAACTTCCGATCCCATAAACCTGCCCTCCTGTAACTTCTTTTATCTCAAACATGAAACTCCTTCCTTCTCTATTTCACCGTCTACAGGCAGACCTTACTGCATGGCTTTCAAAATACATCCAAATCTGCCCTCTCATTACCACTTCCTGCCAGCGCCTGGTCCCACAGCAGCCAGGGTGGACTCAGGTTCCATCTCACCTCTGCCTAGAGCCTCCAGGGACTCCCCAGCTGCTCAGGGCCTTGCGTCATGCAGTCCCCACTCCCTCTTGCTGTCTCAGCCAGACCTGCATGGGTGGCTGCTCCTGCTGTTCCCCCCAACCCCTTGAGGCTTGTGCTCCTACTTCTGTGATCTGTGCTCCAACCGTGCCCCTTCAGCTGCCTTTCCTGACCACCCCAGGGCTTCCCTCTGTCCGCTCTCTGGAGTAGCTGTCATCCCCGGAAGATGCCGTCCACATCTGTGTGGCTCGTCGGCTGTGCCCCCTCTCCAGAATATCGGCTCCTTGGGGGCAAGGACTTTGTCCTGGCTTCTGGCAAATGTAGCATCAGAAACGGCTCACTTAGGCTCTCTGGCCATGCTCGTGGTCTTGGGTTTCCTATTAAGGACGCTTTAACAGCCGTGACAGAAGCTTCCAGAAATTAGATGTGATTTAATAAAGCGAGAGGACTGAATGTCCACAGCTGCTCAGTGAAATACTCTGGGATGATGTGAAAATTCCGTGTGACGCTGAGGGGCCGGGTCCGGTCTGCTGGGCCTCACATCCCCGCCTCTGCCCTCAGGTTTCCGTTCAGCCGCCCGGAGCTGCTGAAGGAATGGGTGCTGAACATTGGCCGGGGCAACTTCAAGCCCAAGCAGCACACGGTCATCTGCTCAGAGCACTTCAGGCCAGAGTGCTTCAGTGCCTTTGGAAACCGCAAGAACCTGAAGCACAACGCCGTGCCCACGGTGTTCGCCTTTCAGGACCCCACACAGGTAGGAGCGCAGTGCATCTTGGTCTGCTCACATCCAGCCTGCACCGCCCACCAGCAGCTGGGTGCAATGGTGGTGGTGGCATGTGTGGGGAAAGCCAAGGCCAGGACCTACAGTGACAACAGCACTGTCATGCCTCCGGGGTCCACAGCCCTCTGGCTCTGCCGGCCATGACCTCGGCTTTAAGAGAAGTCATAATTTAAAGCCACTTTAAAGATGAATCATTCTATGGCTGGGAACAGTGGCTCACGCCTGTAATCCTAACACTTTGGTAGGCTGAGGCGAGTGGATCACCTAAGGTCAGGAGTTCGAGACCAGCCTGGCCAACATGTTGAAACCCCGTCTCTACTAAAAATACAAAAATTAGCCGGGTGTGGTGGCACATGCCTATAATCCCAGCTACTCGGGAGAATCGCTTGAATGAAGGCAGAGGTTGCAGTGAGCCGAGATTGCCTTGGTGGTGGAGGTGGGCTGTGTGGGCCTGGCTCAGGAGAGGGCTCACGAAGAGTTGGATGCTGAAGCCTTGAGATCGGATTCTAGGCCACAGGGACACCTACCTGTAATGGGCAGGCAGAGTGGTGGCCGGACAAGCCACAGGCCAGCAGCTCCCTGTGCTGGTGGATTTATTGGGAGAGGAGAGGGACCCATGACTGAAGAGTGGAGCCCATGGGAAGAACAAGGTGGCTGTATTGCTAACACGCCCAGAGCGGCCACCTGGGAGCCCCTGCCCCATCTGCTCCAGCAGCCTTTCCAGATGGCCTCACGAGTGCTGCCTCACCCTCTTCAGGTCAGCCATCCCTTCTTCAGGAAGCTGTCCCAGACCCTCACATCCCTGCTGGCCTCCGACCCCTTCCTGCCCCTTGGTTCCTGGTCCCTGGGGCCCCTGCCGTCCGTCCTTCCTGTTTCCCTCACTGGTTTTGTTTTCTCCCTGGAACAGAAGCTCCACGAGGGCAGGGACTGCCTTCCCTGCTTCAGGCTCCACACCCAGGACGCTGCCTGGCACAGTACAGGTGCACGGGGTGTGTGTTTAATCACAGACAAGGAGTTTAATCACCTTCATGTATTTGTGATAACATGTTTGTCCTGGAAAGATGACAGTTGAGCCACGTGGCGTGGGGGACATTTGTAATTGTAGCCCTCAGTGCTTCCAGAGCCAGGTGGTGGGGAAAAGCTGGGTACAGCCCCTGCCAGCTCCGCACCATGTGGTCCCCGCACCGGCCCAGCCCAGGGGCTGCAGGTTCTGCGTCGGTGGCACCTTGAGTAGTGAGCTGGCCTTCTGCTTGCTGGCGGTTGTGGGGCAGGGTGCCAGGCCCTGGGGTGACGCATAGGAAGTAGATTGCTCCCTAGCTCTACAGGGACCTATCAGGGCACTCTGACCATGATTTGGGAACATCTTTTGAGAAAGGGAAGTGGACCAGGTAGGCAGTGTGAGTTGGGTTGAGCTTCAGGTCAGTTTAAGCTAGCAAACGTTCATTGATTGTGGCACGCAGTGGGTCGAGCACTGGGGACAACCATGATGCCCAAGGCCTGCCCGAGCTCTGAGGGTTCTTGGGGTCCACATCCACTCTGTGTGTGTCTCTTGCAGCAGGTGAGGGAGAACACAGACCCTGCCAGTGAGAGAGGAAATGCCAGCTCTTCTCAGAAAGAAAAGGTGAGTGCACTGGGCCAGGTGCTTGAATGTTTACATTATGCTGTGGGTTGAGACAGGGAGGCGGCATTTTCCCAGTAAGGCCGGACTGTGGGGCTGTTGCCTTTCCTCGTATGCCAGTTTGGATTCTGTTTTTCCGGAGGGAAGGTCTGAGCCTCTGAGCTTCCTTTTCAATATCAAAGAATCTCAGTTGCTAGTAAGGATGGTGCCTGATTCTCTCTTTTTTTTTTGAGACGGAGTCACGCTCTGTCACCCAGGCTGGAGTGCAGGGGCGCAATCTTAGCTCACTGCAACCTCCTTCCAGGTTCAAGCGATTCTCCTGCCTCAGCCTCCCGAGTATAGCTGGGATTACAGATGCCCCTGCCACCATGTCTGGCTGATTTTTGTATTTTTTTAGTAGAGATGGGGTTTTACCACATTGGCCAGGCTGGTCTTGAACTCCTGACCTGTAGTGATCCACCCGCCTCAGCCTCCCAAAGTGCTGGGATTACAGGCGTGAGCCACCATGCCTGGACCCCCGTTTTTTGGTAGAGATAGGGTCTTGCTATTTTACCCAGGATGGTCTCACTGCGCCCAACCTTTTGTTTTTTTCTTTTTGAGACAGGTTTCACTCTGTTCAGGCTCGGTTCAGTGGTGCAGTCATGATTTACGGCAGCCTCATCCTCCCAGGACCAAGCCATCCTCCCATTTCAGCCTCCCAAGTGGCTGGGACCATAGGCATATGCCACCACACCCAGCTAATTAAAAAAAAAAAATTTGTTTTGTAGAGGTGGGGGTCTTGTTCTCTTGCCCAGTCTGGTCTCAAACTCTTGGATTCAAGAGATCCTCCTGCCGTGGCCTCTCAAAGTGCTGAATTACAGGTGGCAGCCACTGCAGCTGGCTGTGCCTGATTTCACTGCCCCCGGCCTGCCTGATTTCTTAAAGTTCAGTTTCAGGGCTGGGTATGGTGGCTCACACTTGTAATCCCAGCACTTGGGGGAGGTGGGTGGATTTCTTGAGGTTAAGAGTTTGAGACTAACCTGGCCAATGTGGTAAAACACCTTCTTAAACTATAAAAATTAGCTGGGCTGGGCGCGGTGGCTCCTGCCTGTAATCCCAGCACTTTGGGAGGCCAAGGCAGGCGGATCACCTGAGGTCAGGAATTCCAGACCAGCCTGGCCAACATGATAAAACTCTATCTCTACTAAAAATACAAAAATTAGGCCGGCTGTGGTGGCTCACACCTGTAATCCTAGCACTTTGGGAGGCTGAGGTGTGTGGATTGCCTGAGGTCAGGAGTCGGAGACCAGCCTGGTAAAACTCCATCTCTACTAAAAATACAAAAATTAGCTGGGCGTGGTGGTGGGTGCTTATAATCCCAGCTGCTTGGGAAGAGAATCACTTGAACCTGGGGGGCGGAGGTTGCAGTGAGCTGAGATCACACTACTTCACTCTAGCCTGGACGAAAGAGCTAAACTCAAAAGAAAACAAAATAAAAAAATCAGCTGGGTATGGTTGCACATGCCTGTAGTCCCAGCTACTCAGAAGGCTGAGGCAGAATTGCTTGAACCTGGGAGGTGGAGGTTGCAGTGAGCTGAGATCGTGCCACTGCTCTCCTGTAGAGCTAGATTCCGTCTCAAAAAAAAAATAATAATTTCACCAGAGATGGTGGTGGTCGCCTGTACTTCCAGCTACTGGGGAGGCTGAGGCACAAGAAGTACTTGAACCCCGGAGCAGAGGTTGCAGTGAGCCAAGATCGTACCACTGCACTCCAGCCTGGGTGACAGAGCGAGACTCTGTCTCAAAAAATAAAAGTGTTAGGAAGAGGGTCGCTGTTTGTGCAGGGGCGCAGACCCTGGAGCTGGTCCCTGGCTGTTGCCACTCCCCCACAGGGACAAGTAGCAGCTTCGGCAGGGCCCCAAATGCATCTGCAGGGCTATAGTGCCTGACTCCACCCTGCTGTTCCCAGGTCCTCTCTGAGGCCGGGGCCGGAGAGGATGGCCCTGGGAGAAACATGAACACTGCGCTTGAGGAGCTTCAGTTGCCCCCAAATGCTGCAGGACCCGTAAAACAGGTAAGACTGAGTACAGAGGTGGCCAGTGCTCCAAACTTGATGGAAACCAGTGTCCTGAGCACACACCACGAGAGCCGTGTGGCTGACGCAGGGTGCGCAACCTTGGTTTCAGAGCTTCCAAGTATAATTCACCACCATGGTGTGGAAACATCTGGATTTCAGGAGAGCAGCCAGGAGTGTCTCGCTGGCTGGGGCGGGGTGTGCTGGATGTGTCTGGTGGCCTGCCCTGGCCCGCCTTCTGCTGGTGAGGCAGCCCTCAGCTCTCACTTCCCCCTGTCCTCAGGTCTTGCCACAGAGGCCGCAAGCAACAGAGGCTGTTGGCTGGCTGGCCGGCCCTGCAGGCCTGAGAAGGCCCCCCCACAAGCAGCCATCTGATCACAGCTATGCCCTTTTGGACTTAGATTCCTTGAAGAAAAAACTCTTCCTCACTCTGAAGGAAAATGAAAAGCTCCGGAAGCGCTTGCAGGCCCAGAGGCTGGTGATGCAAAGGATGTCCTCCCGCCTCCGAGCCTGCAAAGGGCACTGGGGACTGCAGGCCAGACTTCGGCCAGAGCAGCAGAGCTGAGCCCTGTGGGCTCCGGACACACAGGCGGCAGAGGCACCAGGGCTGGCAGGGCTTTGCAGCTCTGGCTGTGGACATTTCTGTGTGCTGTGGATACTGAGAAAGTTGGCCATACTGAGAAAGCGGGGGACTGGGACAGTGGCTAAGCTCCTCGGCTAGCCTGATGCTTCTGGGGGACGTTTAGAGGCATGGCACCAGGAGTGCCCATCTGTGGCATGACAAGCTTATCCTCCCATGGCAACAGAAGCCCAGGCTGAAGCTGGTTCTGGACACTGTCCTTTCAGAGCGAGCACGGTTGGAAGCCCCAGTGTGGGAGATGCTCCTGAGGAAGCCACATGGGGTAGCACTGGCCGGCTCTGTGGCGAGTGAGTGGGTCCCCGCCTCCATCAGCCTGGACAACTGCTCAGGGTTTTGAGTGACTCCTGTCCCAGGCTGGTGTGAGTGGGCAGTATAATAAAGTGTCTTTCTATATGATGTCACTTCCATCGTTTTGTTTTCTCTCCTGCTGTGATTCCTTCTAAAAGACTGACTTCCATGGCTGGGTGCAGTGGCTGATGCCTGTAATCCCAGCCCTTTGAGAGGTCACTTGAAGTCAGGAGTTTGAGACCAGCCTGGCCAACATGGTGAAACCCCATCTCTACTAAAAGTACAAAAATTAGCCAGGCATGGTGCCACATGCTTGTAGTCCCAGCTACTGGGGAGGCTGAGGCAGGAGGATCACTTGAACCCGGGAGGCAGAGGTTGCAGTGGGCTGAGATAGATAGCGCCACAGAGTGAGGCTCTGTCTCAAAAAACAACAAAAAAAACCTTCCTATTTCATGTAATTCATAATTTTACTGAATTTTAAAGAGAAAATAAGTTGAAGCCTAACTGCTTTCCTAACTTGGGGGTCTATTTCTCGGGCAAATGTTTTTATTTTATCATCTTTTTTTTTTTTTAATCTTTTTTCACTTTTCTTTTTTTGAGGGGGGCCACATTTCTGGCACGGGTAAATGTTTAATGTAGAAAATGAAACCCCAGCCGGGCGCGGTGGCTCAAGCCTGTAATCCCAGCACTGTGGGAGGCCGAGGCAGGTGGATCACGAGGTCAAGAGATCGAGACCATCCTGGTCAACACGGTGAAACCCTGTCTCTACTAAAAATACAAAACATTAGCTGGGCATGGTGGCGCGTGCCTGTAATCCCAGCTACTCAGGAGGCTGAGCCAGG